AATTTGCATATGTGATTGTTCCTATCCTCCTTTAAAAGAAGGTGATACACTTTTAACTTGAACGTCTTTAACTTGATAATTTCTCTGATCTCACGTGGTAGGCTGTTCCAWTCTCTAGCAGAGGAGAATTTGAAGGTCTTTTCCCCAGTTGCAGACTTCGCTCTTGGAATGTTTAGAATACAAGAGCCTCTTAAAGTTCTTGTAATGCATTGCAGATCTTTTTGTTAATTTTCCTTGTAATTGTTTTGGACAACTGTTATTAATAATTTTAAATATCAGAATAAAACGCAGAAATCGCCTGCGATTGTGCAGGGTTAAGATGCCTAAGTTGTCTCGCAATACTTGAGAGCATGTTTTCCGGTTCTTATGCAAAATTATTCTTAAAGCTTGATTTTGCAATCCTTCCAATTTATCAGACAGTTTCTTTGAACACTCCATCCACACTATACAACCATAATCGAAAATAGGTGGTATGGTAATTTTGTATATCTTAAGAAGCATGTTTTGACTAAGAAAGCCTGACAGTCTATTTAAGATTTTCAGCTTTGGGTAAATTCTCTTGCACAGGTAATCAATATGGGTAGACCAGTTCAGGCAGCTGTCAACATAAACTCCAAGATACTTGTAGGAAGTTACCTCCTTCAGTCTGTGCTCATTTAAAACAGCATTTTAACGGTTATTAGAACTACGCATCTTTTAATAACAGCAGCGTTAATTATATGATGTCACTTGAACATTTCATGAATATTTATAACATAACACTAATCACTTCCAGTTTGTTAAAACCAAAAAACATTGAAATGTCTGTAAAGTACTTGCATAATTATAAGGTTCTCTTTTTATTACTCGGGTTTCCGTAGGAACCCGAGTCTAAAATTGCAGGCCGCGTTCTTTGTCGTCGTATTTGGCCGCCAAAATGTGGGTCATGGTCCCAGGCGTTCCTAGTTGAGTCACTGGGAACTGGGGATAAGAATCTCCTGCTTCCCTCGTTACTTCTGCTTCGGTTCGTGGGATTATAAAGGTGCTGCGTGAATGTTTGGAGAGTGCTATGCCTTATACGATCATCCCACATACAAACGCACTCGCCATTCGTGGTAGGCCCACACTAAAAGATTTAGAGGTTTTTCGAAACTTGTCGGTCCATGAATCTTATAGTTTGAAAGCCTTGAAGAGGCAATGTCTACAAGAATCGAACAAATTCAAGAACTCGTGCACTCCACTCACTTCAATTATAAATCAATTCTTCCTCTGATTTTGAAAGCCGTTGAATGCGCTATGAGTTCTTTTATGGATGCTAAATACGGCTGTTTATGTTACTGAATGTAAAAAGAAAAAAAAAAAAAAAATTCATTTGTATATTTATTTCTATTGAAATATGTTCTAAGTAATTTTTTGAGTTTTAGGGATTTTATCTCAAGCAAAAGTCTACTGGGACCATTATTTTTCGTTATTTGTATTAATGATTTTTCATTGCATATACAGTCCTCCGAAGTGCATGAAGACCTTTATGCTGACGACACAAGCTTATCCTACTCTGGTAGTGCGTCCTTCATGGACAATGTTAATAACACCTTAAATTGTGTTTGGAATGATGTCCTAAAATGGATAAATGCTAACAAACTTCCATTAAATGAATCATAGACTAAAACTATGTCAGTCACTGGAAAACCTTTGGCTGCTAAACTGTCGTCTGAGGAAAGGCAGTTATCTATCAAGACATCTGAAAACGAAGCGATAAAGCAAGAAGCAACTTGGTTTGGTGATTGACAGCCAAGTGTCATTTGCCGATCATATCATCGGACGCACTATGTAAAAGCTGTCTCAGGGTATGGCGTACCATCCCCGCCAAAATGCACTGTTTGAAATTCATCACATGAATTTTACACTCTATTAGATTATCTCATATTGCTATTTTGTATTTTACATGCTTCATCAAGGTCTTAACATACGTGTTTTCTATTTCAGTCATTTGATGTTTTATATTCGAGTTTGTCACTGATTCATTCTAAACTCCTTCACCATGAATTTCTCGTACGAGTTTCACATTACGAACTCCCGAGGGGGGGGGGGGGKGTT